TGCAAACCACACTCCTAGATGGGATATGCTTTAAACAATACATTTAAAATAATGCAAACCCAATTTTTCTTACTTTGATAGTTATATACTAAATATAATATGTAATCTAACATAATAGCACCTAACGGTTACTGTCCTGAAAGTTTGGCTTGAAATTCTGGCTAGATTATTTATCACACATGATATAATATAACAAAATTACTGCATTTTTTAGCTTCAATTACCCATGAGAAAGCCATGACACAAAGAAAGGCGCTAAGTTGCTGAAAGCTATGCAGGTGAAAGAGCCAAGAAAAGAGCTAAATTTGTTCAGAATCCAATCTTTTAGCCAAAGGGTTGGCACAGTTTAGAGCTAAGAAGCCAACTAAACATGAGAAAATCATTCTCTAACAGTTGCCATAACCTTAGTCTGGAATTTTATTTATTAAAATTGTTATCTCTGGAAATTCAAAGATGGGGATAAATATATAAAAAACATTTTAAAAGTAAACTGTGCTCATATGATTAAAACTTTGAAAAAAAACTGATGCATTCAAGTCTTAAAGACTAGAAGAAGGATATTCTATTGACAGGAGAGAAAAGAGAACACAGGGCAAGTCTGTGGCAGAAGTCAGCCTGCAACAGCAGCTGTGATGAGAATGCCAAAGAGGAAACACAAGAATGGACTCCAGAAAGAAACCAGCCACAGACATGGAGTCCAGGAGTCCAAGAGACTTCCTGGGTTCAGATACTTCCTGTTTGGGAAGATGTTAAAATTAGCCCATAGGATTATTATACTCTGGATCTAAAATTCTATAATTTTATTACTCTATAGGCATAAAGTCATCTTGAAACATGTGCCATGGGCCTTCATAAGTAAAAGTATTTCTTTCCTTTTGTACAAGTTTTTGCATTTCTTTCTGAAGCATTGTCCAAACCTCTAGGCACGTCATAACCATAACTTCAAGATCCCCTCAAGATGTAAAAGTTTCAGAATTAAATTAACTATATCATTATTTAAGAAAATATAAAATACTTTATGTTAAGGTGGAAGTACCATTAAGTGTTCAAAAATAACTCAGGGTTGTAAAAATTATAATTCAGTATCTTTAAAAAAAAGGATTAATGTAGCACCAACACTTCCCAAGCAAAACACAACATACACCATGAATTGTCTAATTACACACTAAAGTCACACATATCTTAGAACATCAGCCATCAACTTTTCAGTCAGTAAAAAAGGAAGGTGAGAAATCCAAAAACATAAACAAGATCTATGAATGTAAAGAATGTCCTTGGCCATTCATAAAAAAATTCAGAGAGCACAAATATGTATTCATAAAAAAAAATCTGAGAGAGCACAGATATGTACTCTCACTTTATTAGCCACTTCTGATCTAGGATGGATACTAAAAAGACAAAAGACATTTCCTAACTGTAGAAGTATCAAATTTCAAATTGTTTTCTGAGCTGGCTTCTAAGTGACTGTGCCGTCCACTAGAGGGCAACAGAGTGCTCTCAGAAAGCAATAAGGCAATGTGTCTGGCTTTAGGTCACTAGTTCATTCTCTGTCCACACCAGTCTGTCTTTGAATATGATATGAGATCCCTGAATGCTGAGTATGTTAGCAGACAGTGTGTTCTCATTCTAAATTTAGTCCTGCTGGCATTTCATTTCTCACATAATAATAATATGTTGATCCAAATGTTGTGTCATATTAATCAAGTATCTCCTTATAAAACTATTTTGAGCAATTTAATAACTTTAAAACAAATTTTATAAGATTTGTTTAAAACTATTAAAGTGTACATTAAGTTAGTTTCTTTGGTGTTTCATTACTTAATCTCAAACAATTTAGTACTTAAATCAAGATATGTATGTGAAAATATAGTAATAATAGTATCATTATTAAAGGACAGCAAGGGACATTTAACACAGAACTCTTTTACACTAACACTATACTAACTGACATTTTATTGTTGAACAGACTGTTGAACTTGAGGATAAGGCAGACAAAAAACTTATACTATGTCTAACAAGTACCTATACCAAACACAAGAGATAAAGTTGAGCTGACTGTGCAGTACTTGAATACAAGACAGCACATGGCATTCAAGGGTCAATGCCTAGTTGTGCAAGCCAAGAGCTCCTGGTCTGCCTCCAAGCTTAGCCCTTCCTATCTGTAAAACCTAGCTATAATTTTCTGTGTTAGTATAGTATACCATTGTGTGTGTGTTAGTATGTATATATATCATATATTACAGTTTGGGTTAGGTTAGGGTGTTAGGGGTTAGGTTAGGGTTAGGGTATATATACATATGTATGTATGGTTATGGAAGCAATTCAATTTTCATAAAAGTTATGTATTTTCATATTTACATATTTTTATATTGTAGTTGTCTTCTTTAACCATGCCAACAATTCACAATATGAGTTACTGTTTTAAAAGTCTAATTTTGAGTAACAAGACCATGGGATTTAGAAGTCACCTCTTTATCAAACTAAGTAAATCAATTAGATCTTTTTCCAATTTTATATCAAACCATTCCACATCTAGTTTCTAGCCTTTATTGAACTTATTTTTCCATAAGCAAAGTGACCATAGCTAACACTACTTTTAGGTTCAAATTGTTGTTGGACTCTTGGCTGCTTCATTACTTGGTTCCAGGCTGTCTACAGCCCTTGTTGTCAGCTCCCCTACAGGTAGCCTATCCCAGGAATGCAAGTGTTATGAGTTGAGCCTGATTCTTCACATCCATCCAGTCTTCTCTGTGCCTGATGTCTGTCCATAATCTATCTGTTAATGAGGAGTCACCAAGTCATGTACACATAAAAACCCAGCTGTGCCTCCAGCCTTCTTGGGCAGGTTTGATATGCCACAGAACAGCTACAAACCATCAGCTGAAATGACTACTTACTGTGAATTGACTAATAGTAAGAGAAACAAGTTTGGTGGGTTGTGCTTCCAGAAAAAATAAGAAAGTTCTCTTTTTCACTGATTTTCCCTTTTTTAACAAAAGGAAGAAAATAGAGTGATTCTTCTTCAGGCAACATGAAAAGTGCAAATCCTTATCGATTGTACAGAACAATGGCAGGCTTCATGGAGAGGCATGAAAGTGCATTAAGAGGAAAGCTGAAGCTGTAGCTAACATACACGGATCCTCTGCTAGGGTTTTAACTGATTGTCTCCTTCTCTCCTTATTTAATAATGGTGTTAAGTCCCCTTTAAAAAGACACACATAATAAGGCTGTTTCTATGGCTAAAATACAAGCTACAATTTGAAAAAGCTTTGCAGAAACACTTGAAAGAATGCATCATAGGAACGTGCTGCATTGGACAGAATTCCACAGGTATTGTTAACAGAATTTTCCATCCAGAAATGGGATTTGTAAGAAGGCCAGGATGAGCTGGCTTCTTCTGTCCTTTCTTAAATGTAGCATTTTCTTGTTTTTTTTTATATGAACACACTGGCTGTAGAACTTGAGATGCAGGCTGCCTGCATTGTTAAAAATCAAGCCAAATATCTCAACTATCTCAAAGAAGGAAGGTGCTCCCAGGGAAGAAGCAGAAAGTGAACTGGGAAAAGGCAAGTGAATGGCCATCATTTGGTGTTATAAGGGGAAATCATAAAATTCCTCTGTAGCTATGCACTGTGGCTCAGGCTGTAAACTCTGGAGCACTCTGGAGGCAGAGATGGAATAATCTCTTGATCTCATGGTCAACCAAACTAGCTAAAATGAAAGGACAACAAAAGAACTGTCATTAAATGCCTTACTAGATATCTTAACATAAAAAACACAAAGGAGAGCCAGGCAGTGGTGACGCATGCCTTTAATCCCAGCACTTGGGAAGCAGAGGCAGGCGGATTTCTGAGTTCAAGGCAAGCCTGGTCTACAGAGTGAGTTCCAGGACAGCCGGAGCTATGTAAACCCTGTCTCAAAACAAAAACAAAAACAAAAACAGAACAAAACAAAACACAAAAGAGGAAAGTCCCTGCCTTCTAGGAGTTGACAACCTACTTAGAAACACAATTTGCTTACCATGTGGCTGACTACCACATAAAGTAAGTCAAGCCAAGTGTCAAAAGACATACAAAATACAAAACTATGTTGCAAAGATTAATGTAAGTTTGAACACACACACACACATACACACACACATACACAGAGAGAGAGAGAGAGAGAGAGAGAGAGAGAGAGAGAGAGAGAAAGAGAGAGAGAGAGAGAGAGAGAAATATGCCACAAATAAAGATAAACCTACTATAAACAGTGCTAAGGTTATAGAGAAGAAATCTTGGAAGCAGTCCCATTTCTGAGGACAACACAGTTTATATTAAACAGTGTGTTTCAATGGCAATAATTCAGGATATTGCCGTGGGATACTTTCCTTTTTATACCTTATCAAAGTAGTAAGAAGCAAAATTCCATTAAACCACTACATTTGTGATGAATTCTTCCCAAACAATTAACAGAATAGTTTTAAAGTTTCCTAAATACTGAACACACTCAGTGTAATGCTTTTCTTCAGTTTCAGGATGAGGATTAACGTGAAAGAAAGACATACACAGGATATATAGTGTGCCATATACTTTGAAAAAAATCTACACCATAGCTCTTCATGAGTCATCCATACTCCACTATATTATCCAGTGTAAAACACAAAACACATTCCCACCTCAGGCATTAAGATGAATATTTAGCAACTGTCTGGAATAAACTCCAGAGCCAACAGCAGCAGCAGCTCCAACAGCCTCTGCAGCTGACACTAATTTATTGAGATGTATTGGGAACTCTTGAGAATGAAGAGTCTGCTAATTAGGCCACCACAACAAGTTTCCAAACTTCAACAAACTTCAGGCAAACATCTGATGAAGAACTTTGATTTATGAGCTGTCCAGGTGAAAATGAAACAGATGGTATCTTTTAATAATAACTGACATACGAGTTTGTTAAGAAATCGGATGGCTTGAAAATATGCTGCTTGGTTTAGGAAAATGAAGAAAGTGTTCAGAGTCATCTACCTTATCTTTGTCTTCAACAACATCTGCTAAGACATCATCCGGATCCAGGATTCCTCCATCTGTGTATTCTAAGTGATGAATCTTCACCCAGTATTCAGGATCCTGTGGTGGGACAAGTAAATCTGATGAGTCAATCTATTTCTACCAAACTAAGATACATTTTAAGAAAGATAATTAATCTCAATAAAGATATGGTATAATGATTGTCATAGTTATGGTTTCTGTGGCTGTGATAAAATATCATGGCCAAAACCAATGCGAAGAGTAAATGGTTTATTTTGTCTTACAACTCTCAGGACACAATCAGTCACTGAAGGGAGGCGAGGCAGGAAGTCAACAGGAACTGAAGCTGAGACTGGGAAGGAGTGCTGCGTACTGGCATGCTCCCCATAACTTGCTCATCTTGCTTTCTATGGCACTCAGGACTACCTGCCCAGGAGTTAGGTACCCTCAGTGATCGAGGCTCTCTTAGAGTAATCAATAAGCAAGAAAAAGTACTATTGGCTTCCCTACAGGCCAGAGACATTTTTTTTCTCTATCAAAATTCCCTCTTCTTACATATATCTAGGTTTGTGTCAAGTTGGAACACCAATAAAACTTTTAACACAAAGCAAAGGTCTGTTGTATAAATAATTTCCACTTTTATCTTGTTTAACTTGAGGACTACCCATCTAGTAAATTTTTCTGAAATTAAATTACTATGCAGAAAATGAACTACCAACTTGAAAAGCATCTTCCAACTTAAGCAATGCCAAAATATTCTACAGAATAATTATGGAGGTATTTCCTCAACTTTAGATAGTTCAATCTGTAATATAAAATTTCCAAAGCAGAAATATGTAACTCTCCCAGCTATAACTTCAGCAAATTATAGTGGAACTGGGGGTGGTGAGGGGGTCACTGCACCAATCCCCATGCCTTTTTAACTTTCCATGCTCAGTGTGCCCCCTCAGCTTCAGTACTTTAATAGGACCAAGAGCAAAGCCCCAGCTCTGTTCCCATGTCTCCCAACATGCTAGTCTCTGCGTAGCTGTGCCCAGAGTAATATGGCATTTTCTAAACTGACCTTATGATTTAGATTATTTCCAACAATTATTTTTAAATGCTTAGTTTAAAACACAACAACCTGATATTAAATGCAATGGTGATATTAGCTATTTCAGTTATTTGTGTACTGCCTTTTCCAGAAAAAGAAAATAAAGAATGCTAGCAATGAGGAAAAGAATACGAACCAATGAATGAAGTGAATTCAAGTATCAGTAGAGATCTTAAGAAATAGCCAAGCTAAAACCAGCTTTGGTTCTATGATTCTTAGAAGACATTAAGCTAAGAGAAAAAAAAAAAACTTGGTAAAGTAACAAATTCCAGTTTCTTAAAGGAAATGAAAATCCTCCTAGGTTGAAGCTTTAAGCCTTATCAAATGAATCTTTATTAAGAGTAAGAGCTAACAGAACACACAGAATACAATTGTGAGTTTACAAAAGCTAATAGAAATGACTGCCATACAGCTTTCCCTGTGACCCCTGATGAAAAGCTTGGGCCTGCTAGAAAATAATAATTCTTTAAGGCATCTATATGGAGGTTGACTGAGGTGAGGCCAAAATACACAACTTTACAACAATGCAACATGAAAGAATTCAATGATAGACTTAAAAATCTGAAGCAATTCTCCTTGCCTAAGCTTTAACCATCTCAAAATTATGTTATTTTTAAAATAGAGTATCTGAAGGACAATTCCAGGAAGAATAAGACTTTTGTTTGCTTCTATTCTAGGATTATAAGTATAAAAACTAATGCCTTATTAGATACCTACTATTGCATAGATGAGAAGCCAAAGTAATGAGCAGTAAGAACACAGTCAATTAAGCAAAACACAGAATACCTATATCTCGAACCCATAACCAGAGACTTGGGCCATCTCAAAGCAATTGTGTTAGCAATAATGAGCTAAAGGCAGAAAGTAAGACTCTAGACAGAGTACTCTGGATTTGTAAACACAATACAATACTATCTGACTAGATCAGCCTCCTAGAAACCTTCAGAGGTTAAAAACTAATACAGCTAGGCCACAACCAACACTCTTCCCCACTTAGGCACATCACCCAGGAAACTGTTTTATACAGCCTGCTTAGGAAAAAAGTCCAAGTTAATTAACTGCACTAAATTGTGTTTTTTTTTAATACTATATTGTTGAAACATACTCAAGTGGTCTAGTTTGCTTATTATTGCTGTGATAAACTTTGACAAAAAGCAACCTGGGACAGTGAAAAGTTTAGCTGGTTTATAGGTTAGCATCATCAAGAGAAGCTGGGGTAGGAACCTGGAGGCAAGCTAAGGTCAAGAACAAATGCTGCTCACTGGCTTGCTCCTAGACTTACAAGCAGCTTCCTTCCTTCCTTCCTTCCTTCCTTCCCTCCTTCCTTCCTTCCTTCCTTCCTTCCTTTCCTTCCTTCCTTTCCTTCCTTCCTTTCCTTCCTTCCTCCTTCTTTCCTTCCTTTCCTTCTTTCTTCCTAACTTATTTTCTTTCTCTTTCTTTCTTTCTTTCTTTTTCTTTCTTTCTTTCTTTCTTTCTTTCTTTCTTCCTTTCTTTCTTTCTTTCTTTTAAATTGAATATTTTATCTATTTATATTTCAGATGTTATCCCCATTCCTCCCCCAGAAACCCCTTATCCATCCCCCACCCTGCTACTTCTATGAGGATATGCCCCCACCCATACACCCACTCCCCCCCTCAAATTCCCCCACACTGGTGTATCCGGCCTCCACGGGACCAAGGAGCTCCTCTCCTACCAATGCCTGACAAGGTCATCCTCTACTACATATACAGCTGGTGCCATGGGTTCCTCCAAGCATGTTCCCAGGTTGGCAGTTTAGACCCTGGGAGCTCTGGTTGGTTGGTATTGTCGCTTTCCCAATGGGGCTACAAGCCCCTTCATCCCCTTCAGTCTTCTTGGTACCTCCTCCATTGGGGACCCAATGATCAATGGTTAGCTGCGAACATCTGCCTCTGGCTAAGCCTCTCAGGAGACAGTTATATCAGGCTCTGGTCAGCATGCACTTCCTGCCATCCACAACCGTGCCTGCCTATGGTGACTGCACATGGGCTGGATCCCCAGGTAGGGCAGTCTCCAGACTGCCCACTCTCTCCCTACCTATTCAATATAGTACTTGAAGTCTTAGCCAGAGCAATTAGACAACAAAAGGGGGTCAAAGGAATACAAATAGCAAAGGAAGAAGTCAAAATATCACTATTTGCAGATGATATGATAGTATACTTAAGTGACTCCAAAACCTCCACCAGAGAACTCCTAAATATGATAAACAACTTCAGCAAAGTGGCTGAGAAAGAAATTAGGGAAATCACATACTTTACAAATAGTCACAAATAATATAAAATACCTTGGTGTGAATCTAACCAAGCAAGTGAAAGATCTGTATGACAAGAACTTCAAGTCTCTGAAGAAAGAAATTGAAGATTTCAGAAGATGGGAAGATCTCCCATGCTCATGGATTGGCAGGATTGATATAGTAAAAATGGCCATCTTGCCGAAAGCAATCCACAGATTCAATTCAATCCCCATCAAAATTGCAACTCAGTTCTTCACAGAGATAGAAAGAGCAATAATTCTCAAATTCATTTGGAATAACAAAAAACCCAGGATAGCGAAAACTATTCTCAACAATAAAAGATCTTCTGGAGGAATCACCATCCCTGACCTCAAGCTGTACTACAGAGCAATAGTGATAAAAACTGAATGGTATTGGTACAGAGATAGGCAGGAAGATCAATGAATAGAATTGAAGAGGCAGCTACCTTTCTTATACACCCCATGCACATCTGCCCAGACTAACAGTGAGCACAGTGAGCTGGGCCGGCCTCCTTCAATTAGCAATCATTCAAATGCCCTCCAGACCTGCCAATCTCATCTAAACAATCCCCACTTGAGGTTCCTTCTTAGATGTCTCTAGTCTGTGTTGTTAACAACAACTAACCAGTGTGCCATGACTGTAAAAAGGGAAGCACTCTGAATGTGTCTCTTTAAATAGTACGACTTAAAAGAAGATGACTACTGGTTTCTTTTCCCTTGGATTCAATTTGTAAGAGTAGGCCATATAATCCACAACTAGACAATCATCCTTAGCAACTGCCAAACACATTGAGTCTACCTTACTTCTTCAAAGAGGTATAAACAGAAGGAAAGAGAAAACTAAGTTCTGATTTAAAATAAGAAAAATTTAAAACAACAACAATCAAACAAGCAAAAAAAAAAAGAAATCATTAAGTAGGATTTCTTATTATAAAAACAAAAAAGGCTGACAAATGGCAGAAGGAAGAGGCTGAAAGGTCACACAGTGCTCCTTCCATGGAAACTCTTGCAGAATCTAAGGCCATCAGGAAACCAAAGCATAGGACTAAGACGCTTTAACTGTTGGAAAGAGTGTAAATATAAATTGAGATTTTTCAAGTAGTTGGATATATCTGTTATCATTTAACAAAAACAGTGAATAAATAGTACCAAACTTTTAATGAAAAGATGCAATTTTAGATCACTATCCCACACTGATTCAGTCATTTTACACATACACAACAACAACAGAAAAATGAGGCTGGTGAGGGGTTAGGTAGATCAAGTAAAAGCATTTGCTGTGCAAGCATTATAACTCAGTTCTGCCCATGGTAACCATGGTAAAAGGAGTGAACTGTATTCTGAAACTGTCTTCTGACTACACCTGTGTCATGGCAAGCATTCTCTCTCTTTGCCTGTCTCTCTCTCCTCACTTTGTATGTATCTCTCTCTAACACACACACACACACACACATTTTTTTTAAAGAAAGGAGTAAGCTTATAGGCTCCCACATCTAACCCTGGGGAAAAACAGGCAAGCCGTAAAACAGCAGTCTCAGGTGAGTATTTAATACATTTAAGATAGGAGAATCAATAAACAGGAATGTACCAACCATGGTTCTGTCTCGGTGGCATTCATCTATGCTTTCCATAGATCACATTAAGAGTATGGATTCAGAATTAGCAGCCAACAGCCATCGTAATTCACTCTGACCCTTTTATGAATGTCAACAGTTCAACCATTACATTGCAGTCA